GACAACTTAACGTGACCGACTGGAGCCCTGCATACGTACCTGACCCGAACGACGCCAGGTGCTTCTTTAGGAACTTAACTCAGCAACTAGTAGAGGACTGTTGCCCGCTAAAGAAAAGCTTGCGCATCTCCAGGCTGGAATGGGCGACGCCGATCATAAAAAGGAACCTCAAGAAAAAAGAAGGCTATGGAAAACCTATGACCGATATCAACAACCCGAACACTTCTCAGAATTTAAGTATCAGCGAAATATATGTCGAAGACTACTACGAAAAGAGGGAATGGCTTTTGAGACAGAACTAGTCAAGGGAATAGTTAACAACCCAAATAATTCTCTTCTTAGGTGAATAAGGCAAAACGCAATTGAGATCCCATTCCTTGTCCGAAAGATAACCAGGGAAACAAGTTTACGGATAACTCAGATAAGGCGAACCTCTTGCCCAATTTCTCTATAGACTCGGGAATGTCCTTGATCACGACATTCCGATTACGTTTTGTGCAGGAATTTTTTAAAGTTCCCTTTCTGTGGAAATACGTTCTGTTGCCTTTATCATGTTTCTAATGACAGGCTTCTTGCTGACATTTGGACTGCTTTTTTTAGAGCAGTGAGGTATGAGGCCCACACTTATGCGCGATATACTGGTCTCGTACTGGGAACTTCCTGACATGTTGCCATCAACTACCATGGTTTTGTCGGGCCTCCCATGCCGCGAAGCGCTCCTGCATTCTTTTTGATAAGCGCCGACTCGTGCGACCGATATAACCTGTCCACAGGAACAAGTGAATGAGTATATGCACACAGAAGTGGTCTGACTTGGCAGCCTATCTTTACCTTCGCCGTGCAGGACGGGGTTTTTTGAGAATATCACCCGAACGTTCGCTGCTGGGAAGGTTCGTGCTACGGCTTGGTTGAGACGTCTGTTGAAAAGTTCGATTGCTGCGTCCCCTTGAAAGGAATAGCGTCTTCTGTTCTACAGTGGGTGTAGCGGGCGTTTGTTCTTTCTCCATCATATTCTTCATGATGAATCTGTCCGGATACCCGTTCTCCCGCATCAGGTT